TATCATCATCAGAACAAATCTCGTTCACAACATTTTCCAGCTGGTCTGTAGGAACACGAAGACACTTGCTGCAAGAAGCCATGGTGAAACTGAATGAATGTGAAATATTTTCTGACCTTTTCCTTCTCAGAGGGTTCTGACAGTAATATAGACCCCCACAAAGTTTACAAGGGTTCTTTACAAACATGCACAAAAACTATCATATATATGTCTTTGGTTGATGAGTGCCAAGAGAGCAAAGAAGGGAAGAGATTGTCAAAGCGTTAAAACACGCCAACGCCAGGGAACGGCTGGCATCGTCCGGGCGTTAAAACACGCCCGCGCCAGTCAAAGAGTTAAATTGTGATAAATCACACCTTATACAGGGAAATAGAATTGCAAATAATATCTAATAATTCACTTATTACAAATGTCAGTTCTACTAAATTCTTGGGAATAAATGTTGATAGTACCTTATCTTGGAAGAACCTTATTATGGATTTATCATCAAGGTTAAGGCTTGTTATGCAATAAGGGAAATAAAGCCATTTATGTCACTTGAATCAATGAGGATGATCTATTGTTCCTATGTACAATCTTTATTGTCGTATGGCATTATCTTTTGGGGTAATGCCCCTCATAATGAGAGTATCTTAAAAATTCAAAAAAGAATAATAAGAGTTATATCTGGTTAAGGTAGACTGGATTCATGCTGTGGATTGTTTAAAAAATTACAAATATTGCCACTTCAGTCTCAGTACATTTTCTCCTTAGTTCTTTTTTTAATTAAGAACAGAAATTATTTTATAGCTAATACCAATATTCATGATATCAACACACGTTATATTCACAATTTATATTTACCTTCTACAAATCTATCAATAGTTCAAAAAGGAGTGCTTTTCTCAGGTAGCAAGATTTATAACCACCTACCCTCAAACATTAAATTGCTATCCAAAGATATTAAAGAGTTCAAATTTTTATTAAAAAGCTATCTCACTTAAAATGCTTTTTATAGTATTGATGAATATTATAAATCAACTTCTCAGTGAACACTTTGTCTTGATTGTCTCTCCTACGGATAATATAATTACACAGTTTATATATCCACTACAACTGTATCAGTGTTTATATTAATGTATATGACTGCACTAATTTATAGTGGTCTTAGTGTTTTCATTTATCCTTATATGGGTTAGGAATGTATATTTTATTATCTTATGTTCAAACATGGTTATGAATATATATTTTATTATTTTATGTTCAAACATGACAGATTCTATATCCAGTAGGTTGGTTTGACCTTATATGGATTGACAGAATGCAATAAATAAATGAAATGAAATTTAGAGGATTTGTTGTGTACACTGGGGTACATACTTCCGTGATATCTTTTCCAGAGTGAAAATACAAAATTCCAACCATTCTCTCGGACTGATATTGAGGTGACAGGAGAGCAGATTGCATCGGGTTTGATAGCAGCACCACTTCAGGTTCGAAGAGGGAGTGAACCTGCCCTGAACCAGCTGGTACCAGCTGCAGCAGGTGGCACTAACTCTGCTGCTGTTACTGGTGGTGCCAGTTCAGGAAATGGTTCTTCTGCTGCCTCCAGTGCAACAGATCCATCCAAAAGGTGGTCAGCCACCCCAATAGTAGTGGATGATGTAGATGAAGTGAAGGAGAAAAAATCCTGTCAACAGAAGGTGAGCAAATGAAACTGGGCTGATATCATGAAGCATTAAAATTTATTTCTCTACCTTCTATCTGAAATTATTATTATTTTACAAGACTGGTTTCAGATCATTTGTATTTAAATGGAATTAATATTAATTAGAAAATCTGTACACTGTAATCAAGCCTTGTACAAGTACAGTCACCCACTCACCCGATGTGGATTGATATTGTGAGCTGATTACATGCTTCCATTTTCCAATTTGACTTTTCTATTGTTGTTAATATTGCGGCAAGTCTGCTGAAAGCTAGAATTGTGAAGCCAGCAGAGACAGCCTTTGATCTGTAACCACACCCATTGCTAGGAAATGGCTCAGTAGCCATCATGTGATCGACACAACAGACACTCACACAGCAATATAAGAACTGTTGGAAGCGGTGTTTTCTGTGTGGTCCATGCAGGGGTATAAAACGAGGAGCAGTCTGCAATGGCCACTTGCCTGCAAGGACATGACTCTAGAAGCAAAGTAATGTTGACTGTTGGAAGACATTACCAAGCAGCGCAATGAGGACCATGACTAAGAACACTAGTCTTTATATTATAGTGATTTGTGGTGTACTGACAAGTTGTTCAAAGAGTTCAGTAAATTCAATTGTCAATCCAAATCCTGTCTATAATCACCTGATGATGTGACATTATGTTCAATATTGGCAATAATCTTCCAGTAGTTTTCTCTTATACTAAACAGAGAATAGCCAGATAAACAAAAGTAAAAATGATTTAAGTGTGTATTTAAAGATAAATAAGCAGATTACAATTCATCAAAATAATTGTTGTTATTTATAACAATAAGAACAAGAACATTTGGGACCCATGTAGAGGAGTAAATGACTTGAAAGGGGATTACTAACCTAGAAGTAACTTAGTGAAGGATGAGAATGGTGATCTGCTTGCAGATTCCCATAACATTTTGAATAGGTGGAAGAACTACTACTCTCAGTTATTGAATATAGATAGGGTCAGTGGTGTTGGGCAGGTAGAAATACATAAAGCTGAGCTGTTAGTACCTGATCCTTGTCCTTTTGAAGCTGAAATTGTTATTGGAAAGTTGAAAAGTATAAATTGTCAGGTAGTGATCACATTCCAGCAGAACTGCTTGAAGCAGGAGGTGAAACATTACGGTCTACTATCCATGAACTCATTAATTTCATTTGGAATAAGGAAGAATTGCCTGATTAGTGGAAAGAGTCTGTTATTGTACCAGTATACAATAAGGGTGTTAAAACTGACTGTGGTAATTATCATGGGATATCACTGCTATCAACTCCGTACGAAATTTTGTACAGCATCCTTCTCTCAGGGTTATTTCGCTTAGTGGGGGGTGGAGTCCAACTGGATCCACTTGGCATGGCGGCCACTGATTGGCCTATTGTAGCCTTCCCTGTGTTATTATGATGATGGAGAATTTGGTGGAATGAAGGTTGCCCATCAGCTGCTGTTCTATGCAGATGATTTGAATCTACTGGGAGATAACATAGATACCATAAAGAAAAACTAAGTATATACAGTATTGCTGTCTCAGCACCAGATTACAGGACAAAATCATGACATAAAGATAGCCAACAGATTCTTTGAAAATGTTGTACAGTTCAAATATTTGGGAATGACGGTAACAAATCAAAATTTGATTCAGGATGAAAGTAAGAGGAGGCTGAACTCAGGTAATGCTGGCTACCATTCAGTCCACAGACTTTTGTCTTTTCATTTGCTGTCTAAAAACATAAAAATTGGAACATACAAAACTATAATTTTGCCTGTGTTTCTGTATGGATGTGAAACATGGTCTCTGACATTAAGACAGGAACATAGACTGAGGGTGTTTGAGAACAGGGTGTTGAGGAGAATATGGACCAAAGACAGATGAAATGAGGGGAGGTTGGAGAAAACTGCATAATGAGGAGCTTCATAACTTGTACTCTTCTCCAAGTGTAATGTCAAGGAGGATGAGAATGGAAAGGTATGTAGCACGAATGGTGAGAAGAAGCATGTATATAAGATATTGATGGGAAAGCCAGAAGGAAGGAGACCAATAGGAAGACCAAGATGTAGGTGGGTGGGTAATATTAAAATGGATCTTAGAGAGATAGGATGTGGTGGTATGGACTGGATTGATTTGGCTGAGGACTGGGACCAGTGGAGGGCTCTTGTGAACACGGTAATGAACCTTCAGGTTCCATAAAATGTTACAAAGTTCTTGAGTAGCTGCACAACTGATGGCTTCTAAAGAAGGGCTCAGCTCCATGAAGTTAGATAGTTAGTTAATGTGATTTAAGAGTACAATCTTTTGATATGTAATACCATGTAGTTCAGTAGAATTCCACTAGTGCTTTTTTAGAGGAATGTATCATTTCTATCTTCAAGGTAAAAATGTAGGACAAGCAAGATATACCAGTCAGGATTAGGAGGGAAGCAAGGCTGTACTGACTACCTTCTTTTTCCTGGTTTCTTATGACCGCGCCATAGCTCAAGCGGTTAGTGACTGGCTTCCCACCGCGGTGGCCCGGGTTGGATCCTGGGTCTGGTCAGGTGGGATTTGTGGTGGGGAAAGTGGCGCTGGGTCAGGTTTTCTCCAAGTACTTCGGTTTACCCTACCAATCTTCATTCCACCAAATTTCCAACATCATAATCACCCAGGGCATGCTACAATAGGGCAATCAGTGGCCGCCGTGCTGAGTGGTCCCATTTGGACTCCACTCCCCACTAAGCGAATTAAAAAAAACTGGTTTCTTTCTTTACTTACTCTTTAACCTAAGTTAATAATTAACTCTCATGAACTTTCACCAGTTAGGATAATAAAGGCAGGTCTATCTCTATAAAATGTGCAAATCCAGAACCTTACAGATAATTTGATGTCATCATCATCATCATCATCATCATCGTCATTTATTTATTTATCTAGTAGATGTACATACAGTTTATGTAGGTTATACTGCAAATAATGTATTTTCGTTTAAAGGTATTGAATTTCATGAGAACAGAGAACTGGTTACATTCTTTCTAGCTACACAGGAAACAAAATGATGAAAGGATTGAAAACATGATCATTGCCAGATATTATTTAGTTTAATAAAAGAAACTGGAGAGAACATATTACATACACGAATGTTCTCTGTAATTTGATCACTCCATCTGCCCACTAGTAAAACAAGAATTTTGAACTATTGCCTGGGAAAATTCTTTAACAAAATAAAAATATTGCATATTGCATTATTCATATTAGGGTATCTAGGCCAAATATTGATGGCAGTATAGGAAAACCTTACTCTCATATTCAGTACTGCTGTGTCTGAAGTGGAAATTTATTACACTAACAGAAATATGTAAATTAAAAAACTATGAGCCATTTTATGTTATGTTTCCCTGCCCCAGCTATACAAATTCAATATACCATGGAACTTCAGTCACACAAACAGACAGGAAGAAGTTCACATATCATGTTAATGTAATTTTGTATGAATTTCGAAATTTAATTATTTTTATTATTGAATGCTATACATGCGTTTCTTGACATTTTCCATGTGATGTCATGCTAAAATGTTAAAAAGTGTCATTGCATACCAAATCATACGTTGCTATGAAGTTGTGTTTTTGCGTTTAATGTATGTTGATGTTTTTTGTATTGTGCATTGAACTTCATAGAACATTTTAGCAGATTTAAAAATTACAAAAAGTAACAGCTGAATTATTCTCTGAAAGTGCTCTAAGTAACAAATATACTGAAATTTAAAAATTTTGAATTGGCAACAATATAAGAAACAAAATGGCATGTGGCAGTGAAATAATGAAACAGGACTGAAGAAGATCTCAGTGATATTATCGCACATTGTGGATTAAAATGAAATGTATAGAAATACATTAGAATTCAGAATGTTATAGAAACACTGGTCTAACATACAGAAATTATTCACTTGATACAGGAGGCTAGTCACAGTGGAAGGCTTGGGAATGGGTACCTTTCTCCTGATTGGTCATGCCTGGAGAAAGTCAGTGATGAAGATAAACTTGCTTGCTCAGCATTCACTCGATTTGTGCGGGATGGCTCAAACCGTCTGTCAATGCAGTTCCTTGGTGACAGTGCAGGAGGGTTCAGGTGGGCAGATGCAGCAGAGAGAATGGCCATCATATCAGGTCCTGCTTATAGAGCGCAGTCAAAATCTCTGCCAAGAGATCATCGGAGAAAAGAACCACTGGGGCAAGCAAATTGTACAAGCCCCATCCTTCCTACAACACATCACCACAGTCAAAGTCACGTTCATGATTCAGATATAGAAGATGACCTAAATTGTGAAAGGTGAGCCTTGGCTTTTATTGCTTCTGAGTATGTGTTTTGAATTAAGCATAACAATTTGTTATGTACCATTTCAGTTAGTTAGTTACTAATCATACACATGAGCTAGGATAGCTCAGTAAACTGACTTGATTTTAGATGGATAACCATTTTCAATTCTTGAGAAGGGCAGTTTCTAATCTTCATCAGTACCCAGACCAATTCTGGGATGCACCCCACCTCGTGTCCATGGGTTTTGGGTGCACTTTCCCTTGTGGTCAAGAATCTGGGGTGTGAAGTTGACTGCTATGCACAACTCCGTGCTGTGTAGAGCTTTATCTCCACTCCCCCATATGTCTTCCTGGGGCAGTACTTAATCATGAGAACAACTTTACTTTTACTTTCCTGGCCTTCTCTAGCTCAGCGCAAGGTCAGTTAGTAAAATTTCTGAGATGAATCTTGATACATCTGTAGGTACATAATTGTTTTAAGTCAGGATTGCAGTTCAGAGAAAAACTGAAAGCAAGAGATATAGACTTCTTTCATATAGTTCTCATATTGATTTTATGAAAAGGCAATTTTGACTTATTATATTATACGTTAATAAATGAGAAGCCAGGATAGCTCAGTTAGTGTAGTGATGGACCACAGGCTGGGCACCCAGGTTTCAATTCCAAGCAGGGGTCACAGACTTTTCTGTACTCCACAGTGTCCAGGCCAGCTTTGGGGCTCATCCAGCCTCCCCTCCAATGGGTACTGGGGTCTCTCTTCCCAGGGGTGAAGTGGCCTGCACGTGGCATTGACCACTCACCTCCATCTAGTGCTGAAGTCAAGAATGATGGAGCTATACCTTATGAGTTGTTATACTGTCTAATATTTTTTGAAGTCTTTCTTTGAAATACTTTTGTGTCAGTTTTACAGAATTTACTGGAAAGTTATAAATGGTATTATACTAAGCTGTACTATTAAACTACACTTACATTTTAAAAGTATTTAGGATTTCTAACAATATATGAAAGAATAAACTGATTCATATAATAGCATTTTTAGGAGATAGCATCAGATATAATACCGGAAAGAATTGAATGCATGTGAATATAATTGTGAATTTGGAAAAGAAGAAAACTGCATTTTATTTGGATGTATACAGCATTAGAAGGATACATTCTGTATTTAGTGAAAGCTCAAGATGCAAAATATTATTCAGGCTGTAGTGTTATGGGTTGTCTTTTCCCTATTCTGAGTCTTCCATTTTCTTTCCTGTGAGAAGAACGGGAGGATCCTGAAAAGGGCCATTTTTTCTCACATCTCAGTTTTCCCATCTCTAATGTAAAACAGTTGTCTTTGGAAATTGCCATCCTCTCTCACAATTCTATTTCCATCCTATGATGAAAAACCTATTGTGTCCCATAAAATACAATTTCCATACTTAATATTCCCATGCCCCAGATTGGGCTCCATTTCCTTACCTTTTTCTGGGGGTATAAGTTAGCACAGTCCTTGAAGCTGAAATAATTCCTCAGCCTGCAGATTTCAGTCCTGAAGATGGAAACAGCATCTTTCTTTGAAACATTAGTACAGCTCTAGTACTTAGAGCTGACAGTCCAGGAAAAGCTGCGCATTGGATGGGCAGGTCCATTTGTGAAAGTTGAGGGGTGTTGTGATTAGTTATTCGTCTGCATTCAGTGCAAGTAGATATCTCAAGAGCATTCTTCCTTGTACAGTCAAGTTAAAAAGTTTTGACTCTTGGAGTCATATTTGAGTGTATTATTCTCTAATTACTGTATTAATATTGTGACGCATTATCTTACGTCCATCGCCGCGCAACGGCTACAGTGGAAATTGTTGAGTTCCAACAGCAACAAATCGAATACAAACAGACCATTGTGAAGGAGCATTCCTGAGGCAACGGATTGCTGAACACGTGAGTTTGGAATAGGCACTTCCATGGTAACGCAAAGAACAGGGAGTTTTTGCGTAGACAATGCAGAAACAATGAACACGTCTTCCCAGAAATGGATGGATGACATCATTAAACTGGCAGACCAAAAATTGGCTTCCATAACTGCAGAAGAATGGCAACATAGGTCCCGACATGTAAGGAACATTGAGCAACAATTAATGGCACGGGAGTTCGTCTTCCATGTTGGTGGTGATAGTGATGACAGTTCTGATGATAGCTCCGATTCACCTGGTGGTGACGAGGAAGGACAGGCATGTAGAGATGATATCTATGCGGACATTGCCGGTGTTGCCCCGTTAGAATATACCCATGTAATATGTAAATAAACTCTTCATGTATATAACAGTGAAAAGTGTATAATAGTGTACAGTGCATAATGGTCTCCCATCTGGCACTTAAAACTTAACATCAGATGTGTGAACATCAACGAGAATAAACCACCATCATCACTATGCAACACAATGAAGTAAGAAGTTATTTCCTTTTGAGAATGCCTGTACTGCATTCCCAGCCACACGTGTTGGCATGCTGGAGCTCTCCCTGCCACTACCAATACTTCTACTCTGTGTCAGAGGACTGTCAGCTCTAAGTACTAGAGCTGTATCCGCATATAAGACCACAACCTGAACAGTCACCACCATGAAAACATTTCTCTTGATTTCAGTGTGGAGTATGTAGTCATGCACAATGAGAATGGGCCATTGGGTATTCATGTGGTGCCAGATTATGATCGCCTGGGTAAAGATCGTGGACTATTGGTCCAGGGTATTGAACCAGGTGGACGGATAGACCGTGATGGTCGGTTAGCAGTATATGATCGAATTATTGAGATCAATGGCCAAAACTTGCTCAACATGCCCTTTCAGAGGTAAGGATTGGGTGATAAAGGTGTATGATTTTAAATATATGCTTTTGTACTTGCATTAAAGTTTGGGACATCAGGAATGTATTCTAATATTGTAAAAAGTTTTCCATGTGTACAAAGTAGAGTCTCAAAGTAATTGATAAATCTTGAGTGCAGGGTCCAGGAAATCTTCAAAGGTTCCCTTCGTTGCCCAGAGCTTCAGCTAAGGGTGATCAAGCACCACAGTAGTGCCATGGATCATAACTTCAAGAAGCCACCCCCTCCTGTCTTCCCCCGCTCGATCAGGGGGCATGATGACAGAGAGAACATCGCTATGGTTGAAGGGGAGGAGCGACGTAAGTTAATACAAAGTTTTTGCACTGAGTTAGGTTTAAGAAGTCATATGTTCTATATATTTTGGAACCTGAAGTATGTGGTAATAAATTATATCAAATGCAAAAAAAGAATCGGAGAAGAGGTTAATTTTTATACACACACAGTCAATCACAGTTGGGAATGAGAGAGGCTGATTTTGTGAGCTGACAATCATAGCTTCACAATAGTCATGGTTCATCCACTCCACTGTTATAAAGGATTTTACAACCTTCTTCAAGTCTTCACCATTTTTCATAATTTCATAACGATTAATTAGAGATTGTAAAATAAAAATTTAAAATTAAAAATGATTTGATAATCATCGATTGTTGTTATACTGGCTGCAAATCTAATTTTGAAAACAGTTATTTTCGTATAATAAATTATTTTCTGTAAGTTTGCTGCACTGATCCAAAAATGTCATTAATTCCGTACCTGCACATGAGGATTTATTACAAATTAGTAGAACTGAAAAATGTATTTTCTATTGTCTTGTTACATTTATTTGTCATATCCCAATAAACACGCTGCTTTTTAAATCTCCTAAACATGAAGAAAAAAACTGATAGTAATGAAGAATATTAGGGAGTTTTGTCCATTGGAATAAAACGCCTTTTAGTCACTTGAAATTTTGCTTCTTGTCTGCTTCATGTTGGTTCATTGCACAGCTTATCCTTCAGCCCTGTAAGTGGAGACTAGATGTTCTTATTAAACAGTTCATTTTCAACTGACCATTGTCATGAGAATCCAAATCCTACTTGAAGAATACTGATGTGCTGACTTCAACAAATTGCCTCTGATCAGAATTATGCTTTTTTGTTCAGTTATATGCCATGCCTGAAGTCTGTCTTTTCAGTGACAGTCAGTAATGTACTAATCATATTGACATTCCATCTTCCCTGTTGTATCTGTTATTTCCTTTGTGTTCTGGTGAGACCTTTCCCATTGTTCCTCACTGAAACTACCAAGATATTTGGGAGAGTAGCCCAAACATAAACAGTATGTATATATATACAAGGTGCGGCAATAAAAAAACCGGATTACTTTTATGATTCATTTCCGGCCACGTCGATGATGAAGAGGAGGGTAGGGCATTGACCCGTGGACTTCCCTCTACCGTCACACAAAGTTTCATTCACGTGCATCGGTTAGTCTGGCCGCGACCATTGTTAGAAGCGGATCGTGTTTCTGAGCTCCGTCGGAATAATGCTGAGTGCTAATGCAATAAAACGTGTTAAAATCAGATTCCTCACAAAACTTGGAAAATCTGCCACTGAGACTTACAATTTCTTGACAGAAGTATATGGTGATCAGTGTCTATCTCGCATGCAAGTTTTTGAGTGGTTTCAGAAGTTAATGGAGGGTAGGAAAAACGTCGGGAACGATCCAAAATCGGGCCGTCCTTCCGCTGCGAAAACTCCAGAGAATGTGGAGAAGGTCACTAGAATTTTTCGAAGAGATCGTCGACTGAACATTCGAGCAATTTCTGAACTTACCAGCATCAATAAGGAAAGTGTTAGACAGATTTTGCACGACGATCTGGGCATGAAAAAGGTGTGTGCTAAAGTGGTGCCAAAAATCTTTACCCCCCCCCAAAAGGAACATCGAGTGAATTGCTGTGTTGACACTCTTGAAAACGTTGAATATGATCCTGATTTCTTCCAAAATGTAATTATGTATGACAAAACTTGTATTCTTCAATATGATCCAGAGACTAAGCGACAATCCATGCATTGGAAGAGCCCCAAATCCCCTAGGAAGAAGAAAGTGCGCATGAGCAAGTCCAAATTCAAAGCAATGATGATTGTTTTTTTCGATATCCGGGGGGTAATCTACATTGATTGGGTGCTTGAAGGTCAGACTGTCAATCAGGTTTATTATAAAAATGTTTTGACGACCCTCCGTGAACGTGTGCGACGAAGGAGACCAGACACGTGGAAGATTCCCTCATGGATTTTTCATCATGACAGCGCGCTATCTGTGAAGAGGTATTTGTCAAAAAACAACATTCCAGTGATGGAACATCCACCGTATTCTCCGGACCTAGCACCGTGCGACTTTTTTCTCTTCCCAAAAATCAAGTCTGCGCTGAAAGGGACCAGGTTCGAGTCCGTGGATGCAGTGAAAGCAAAAGCGACGCGAC